ACACACACACACACACACACACACGCACACCGGGGCCGTCACAATATGTGTTTTTGCACATTATGTAAAAACGCACAAAGAGGTTTAAGCCGATTTGGTGGTCCAAAAACAAAGAAAGTGTGTCTTTCCTGTTTTCCTTTTCTTGCAAGTTTTTATATTTCTCTATTAACTTACTGAGAAGCGAACCACTGTTCACCGCTTTGTCCCCGTATACTGTTTTATGTATTCTTGAAATGAATGGAAATTTAGTTACATGAAAAGTGATTACAACAGTCGTTATAACAAATATCCCTCGAGGATTCAGTGATCTCGATCTCATTACATTACATCGGTCGAATGGAACTGTTATTCCGGCAACTCGATGTCCGCTGTCTGTACTTCTGCATGTCTTATCACTGAATGAACCCTTCAAATCAAACAATTATCTCAAAACAATTTCGGTCATTCAATTGCTTCTTTGATGCTAAGCTTAAATCGAGATTTTATACAAAAGAAATGAGCAAAACGGACACTGTAGCTAAGGTGGAAAATAGATTCCACTGACGAACACTCGTTGCTCGCTTTGCGGACAACTGAACGTTGCATGTCAGTTAATGATGCCTCTGTGCAAGACACTAGTTATATGAAAGGATGCGAAAAATGGAATCGTGCACGGCAGAAAAGGCGAACACTAACCGTTTCCGTGCAGACTCGAATAGAAACCTGGCACAGCTGCACCAGGGACGTAGATAGACCTCAAATTTAAGTTCTTTACTAAGAGCCCATACATTCTTGATTTTTGAAAAGATGGCTAGCAATGGCTCAGGGAACTATTTCTTCAAGTCCCGCTCAAATCTGTTTTACCGTTGAGGAAAAACCTCACAGATACTACTGTGGAGCTCTTCAGAAGCGTACATGCCGAAGAGATTTTAAGAAAACAATAAACAGCCCGTCTGCAAAGGGAAATTTTCCCTAAGAAAGCTTTATATTGGTAGGTGTGTTTGAGTAGCACGATAAGAAAGAAACTTTACTCACAAAATTATTCGAAAATACATGACTTCGGCAGCACTGCGTACCAACTAGAAGTAGTATGATACTCTCAAATTAAGAGCCGAAGATGCAAATCGAACCAAATAAAATCTCTTGTATTCAATACGTTCTTTAACAACCAAGCAGAGGTTATGAAAATGAGCCTGAAGGCCGTAAGATGGTCTGGTTCTAGAGGCTGAACATTTCAAGACTGTTTTGAATCACCTGTTGAATGAATCTGACTGGAAGAAGATCCGTAGCCAATAAAGCTTTGTTTTTGTAAAACAAGTCAAAAAACTCTATGTGACCATAAATTTTAACAGTGAATGAGAGAGGAGCAGAATGCATGCATCTTCTACGCCACAGAAATTCCTTACGTATTGCTGGAAGTCTGCTGTCTGCGCCCCTACACTTTCAAAGGACAAAAAAAAGTATTTGACCCAAAAACCTGCTTTAATGCTTCAGAACATTTACTCAAGTGCTTACTAACCGACAAAATGGCACCTTCACATACACATGTCCTTCGAAAGGATTTTGCGTGTTAAAGTTGATAACAATGACATTTGCGCCACACTCCACTTCAGGATCTCCTTCGACGCCGTTGTCAATTGGTATCAACATGCATAAATGCAAACCACATCCGAGTACCATCCAGAATAGCTGCACGGCACTGCGCATGTCTAGCTCCTTAAACTAGCAGCAACGCATGACAAACATGAGACCGTGAAAGGAGAGCTAGTTAAGTGCACAAGCATGCCGGATACTTGCGGTGCTGTTCACTAAATACACACAACGTGTTTTGACGCTAGGTCAAGAAACTTATTGTTCCAGCTGTATGTATCTGTAAAATTAAGAATAATAGTGTTGTCATGAGGGCCGGGAGATTGGGATTGTGAACTTTCTCTTTTTCTGGTTGAGTTCTTTAAATTCTTTTCCTGGGAGCTTTTTTGCAGAGGTTTTTACAAAAGTGCATTACGTTAAGCTAACTGACGCGTATTTGTTCGAATAATTCCATCAAAAAAGCTATAAAATTAAGGGATTTCATGAGGTCTGACAAAAAGTGTGAAGCTAGGAACGTGGAATTAACTCTTAGCTTCAGCGTCTTGCTTCGTAGCATCAGATCCAAATGCACCGTCATTTTGCGACTCAAGAATGGAAAATTTGTAAACTAAAAATTTCGATATTTGAGTGTATCAGTTATTACGGCATAAGTGGCCTGAAACAGGCCCATCAACTTCAATATTTCTCGGCCTGTTACTGAAGTTTAAAACTAGGTTAATTTTGCAATTTTAAACAAAACAAGCTAGGGAAATAGATTTTTGAGCATGGTTGACTTATCACCAAGTTCACGTAAAGCAAGTGCAGTGTTTCGTAAAGGGTAGTGTTTTTTTGAAGTGTGATGTTTTCTTCTCTCGCACGAGTTGTTTGCGTAAAGCAGGTGTAGTGTTCTGAAATAACTT